GGGCGAAGGGTAGCGGTATGGATACCCTTGTCCTCTCTGAAACTTGGCAGCGCGCACAAAGGGGTAGGGGGAGGGGGGAGGGCTTCTTAGAAGCGGGCTGCTTCTCAGAAGGCGCCGGCCCTTACATCTATAGACAGAGGCTCGCGCCCTCTGAGAAGCAGGGGTGCTTCTGAGAAGCCCCCCCCCCTCCCCCCCGCCCCCTCTGCGCGTGGCTGAGAAGCTGCAGCGTACGCCCTGCGAAATGCTTAAGAAATCATGGGTTAAGAAATTCAGAGTCTCAGAACTTGGATAAAAACCCAGAACTTCTATCAAAATCTTAGGATTTGCATTGAAACGTTAAGAAGAATTGAGACTCTGGCCGAAAATTCGAGTTTTCTTAAGCATCGCCTAAGGTGTACGCCCCCGACGGCCCGCCCCGCCGCGCGGGCCACAGGCGCTGCAGCTCCACGTCGCCTGGCGGCGCCGCCGAGCGCCGACCGGAAGCCAGCGGGCGGCCCTCGGCGGGCTTCGGCGGCCCTCGGCGGCCCTCGGCGGCCCTCGGCGGCCCTCGGCGGCCCTCGGCGGCCCTCGGCGGCCCTCGGCGGCCTTCGGCGTCGGCGGCCCTCGGCGGCCCTCGGCGGGCTTCGGCGGCCATCGGCGGCCGTGAGCGTCCTGTGGGCAGCCCGGCGAAGCGGCGGCGACGGAAGCCACGACTGCGACGACGGCGACCGCGCCGACGACGATCACGCTCTCCAGGAGGGCCGATCATCGTCATCATCATCGTCATCATCGTCATCATCATCATCATCATCATCATCATCATCATCATCAGCATCATCATCAGCATCATCATCATCATCAGTAGCAGCAGCATCATCATCATCATCAGTAGCAGCAGCAGAAGCAGAAGCAGCAGCAGCATCATCATCATCATCATCATCATCATCATCAGTAGCAGCAGCAGCAGCATCATCATCAGCATCATCATCAGAAGCATCATCATAAGAAGCAGCATGAGCATCAGCATCAGCATTAGCATCAGCAGCAACCTCATCATCATCAACATCAGCATCGCCATCAGCATCCGTATCATCACCATTATCGAATTGCCATCATGATAAGCATCAGCATGATCACCACCATCATCATCATCATCATCATCATCATCAGCAGCATCATCAGCATCATTATCACCAGGATCACCATTATCACTATCATAATCGTCGCCAGCATCATCATCAACAGCATCATCATCATCATCGTCATCATCATCATCATAATCATCATTATCATCGACATCATCATCATCATCATCATCGTCGTCAGCATCATCATCAGCAGCATCATCAGCATCATCCTAATCAAGATAAGTATCATCAGCATCAGCACCAACATCAGCATCAGCATCAGCATCATCAGCATCATCACGACCATCATCATCATCAGCAGCAGCATCATCCTCATAATTGCCAGCATCAGAATCGTCGTCATCGCCATCATCATCATCATCATCATCATCATCATCATCAGCATCAGCATCATCATCATCATCATCATTCTCATCATCACCGTCGTCGTGTTGTCGTCGTCATCGTCCTCGTCGTCGTCGTCGGCATCGGCGGCATCATCATCATCATCATCGTCGTCGTCACCGTCGTCGTCATCATGTCGTGGTCGTCATTATGACATTTCGTCGTCATCATTGTGTTGTCGTCGTCATCATCATAATGAACATCACCACCAGCATCATCATCATAAACGTCATCATCACCATCATCATCATCAGCAACATATCGTCGTTGTTGCCGTCGTCCTCGTCCTCGTCGTCGTCATCGTCGTCGACATCAACGACATCATCAGCATCGTCGTCGTCGTGCACGTCGTCGTCGTCGCCGTTGCCCTCATCATCATCAGCATCATCATCATCGTCATCATCATCGTCATCATCATCGTCGTCGTCATCATCGTTGTCTTTCTCGAAATCATCATCATCTCATCACTATCATCATTAGCATCGTCATCATCATCATCATCACCATCATCATCATCATCGTCGTCGTCGTCATCGTCATCATCATCACCGTCGTCGGCGTCAACGTCGCCCACGCTAGCGACACCGTCATCATCATCATCATCACATCACCGCCACCGTCATCACACGCATCATCATCATCATCATCAGCAGCAGCAGCAGCATCATCATCAAGATCAGCACCATCAGCATCATCATCGCCATCGCCACCAACATCACAGACGTCGTATTCGTAACCATCAGCATCCTCATCGTCCTCATCATCATCCTCATCAGCATCATCATCGTAATCATCACCATTACCAGCAACGTCGTCATCATCGTCTTCATCTCCGTCGCAGCATCATGCTCGCTTCCTCTTCCTCTCCCCCCCTCCTATCTGAATCATTTGCCGATGAAGATGTAAACAAAACCTCCGACGACGACAACTATGACGACGAAAGCGACAACGGCCACCACGTCGACGACTACGATGACGACCAACAGCATCACCGCGGCAACGTTGGCAAGGAGGAGGATCGAGGCGCCAGGCTCCAGGCTCCAAGAAGAAGAATAGGATCGTCATCGTCGTCGTCATCATCACCATCGTAATCAACAGAAGCAGCCTCATCAGCATCATCGAGTCCGCCTCTCCGTCGTCGTTCACCTCCTTATCCCAGCCCCCCACCCACCGGTCTCCGACTCCTGCTTATGCGCCTTCTCTCATCCTTCCTATTGACATTGATCATCCTCCACGTGATGTTCCTCCACCTCCTCATCCTACTACCCCTCCTCCCTCTCGAATTCCAAAGCCTCCTCTTCTTCCTCTGCTTCCTCCTCTTCCTCCTACCCATCCGCCCTCCTCCGTCTCCGCTGGCCGCTCCTCCTCCTCCTCCTCCGCCTCCCGTCCTCGTCCTCCTCCCGTCCATGATCACACACTCCATGTGTCTGATCTCCCTCCTCCTTCTCTCCCTACTCCCCCCCCGTCACCCCCGTACTCTCGTCAATATCTACACCTATAGAATAAAGAGCATATGCCTCTTCACAACAAAAGAAAACAAGCAAACACACGAACAATCAAACGTGCCGCACCGCCAGGCCTGTCCTGAGGGCGGGCGGGGCGGTTCGCCCGAGACGGCGCTGCCGTTTGCGACATCTTGCAGCTCGAAGCGTCCCGCCGCTGCACGGAGGGAGGGCGGGCCCTCCTTCAATTCAACAACACAACGACAACAACAACACCAACAACAACAACAACAACAACAACGACGACGACGACGACGACGACGACAACGACAACGACAACGACAACAACAACAACAACAACAACAACAACAACAACAACAACAACAATCATTTTACCCGAACGCTCAGTGTTCTCCCCAGTGCCAGGGTTTTCTTGCGACACCAGCCAATACCCCCACTTCGTGGGGGGGCCGTTCAAGCTCTACCAAATATCCAAACGACTCTTCGAGACCACCCACACCCAGCTTCCCGCCCTATGACGTTGGGACACTTCACTTCGTGGCGTGCGGACGACCCTGGCTACTACACTGGCGTGGGGTACACACCCACAGAGGTTGATCACATCTGTTACATATGATGTGGTACACGGTACACGTGAGATGGTACGCAGTGCCAAGATAGTTGGTCACATTTTTGGGGCAAATTCGTGGGGATGCGATTACAGAAGTACATGTGTTACACTGATGTTATACAGTCCCAAGGATGACGCATGCATTGCTCATAGACTCATGGCGCTATGATCCTAACTCTCAGTGCCCAACGCGCGCGTGCACAGCCAGACGGAGGGAGAGAAACACATGTAT